AAAAAAAAAAAAAAGAAAAATTTTATCAATCACGAAAAATTCGAAATTCTTCTTCAATCATCTAATTCGTTTATCCTTCGATCTATATTCGTTCTTGTTCATACGCGTCTCTATAAGTTAAATTAGTCGCTCGTTCACTTCCTGTTGGCGCACATGCCCTTTAGTTTCGTATGTATATACAGAGCACCGAGTATTGATAGAGGAAAAGGGGATTCTCTTCTGTAACCGCTTGGCCAAGTATACTTGATCGGTTCATTTGCCGCTGGCGAGGGTGCAGTCACCCTGTGGCCACCCTTGGCAATCCTAGTCTAACCTGCACTTGCTTCTTCCGCTGTTCGAGACTCTCCTGTCTAGCAATTAAAGACAGCACTTGGGCGGTTCGAGCTAAAGACAGCCATACCCGCTATTGACACGTACAAGGGAACATATACGTGTATACATGTACACAGGCGTATGGTGTATTCAGGGCAGATTCGAGAACCGGAAGAGAAGAGATTTAAAGACTGTCTTTCTTGCTGCTAGTTCGATGGATGCGTTAAAGTAGACTCGACCCGATATCAAAGAGACATCAGTAGTGGTGAATATCGTATAAAAGCCGAACGATAGCTTTCTTCCGGCCATCGATTCGCTTTTGTAGTGTAAAATAATTGAATCCACGACGATCGGAATGAAAAACGACGATCGGAATCAAAAGCGAAGATAATTTTTATCGTCCAAGTATCATTTATTATATTATGGATCGAAGGCAATATAACAGCAATTTGTAAGAACGAACGATGATTTTTATCGATCAACGTTTCACGCGAATCTAAAACTATCATATGGACGAAATTTCCCTGAACAGATAATCCGTGAAATGAATTGAAATCGAGGTTTATCCGTTTCTGTTAATTTATCCTAATTCGTACGGTGATTAATAATTCACACGTTTCCAGAAATCCATGAACCGTGTGGGATGGAAAATGTTGCAACAATATGCGGATACACTGCGATAAGTAAACATTACACGATTTCTGCGTACGTGAGTCCGAACCGAAAACTAGTCATTACGTATATTGATACGGTTTATACGTATGCTAATGCCCAAATACCTATAATTATGCGAAGATTTTGGTATGCTGCTGTTCCTGATGGTATTAACCATCCACTGCCGAACATTTAATGAACTACATTGTGTTAGAAATCATCGGTATCAGTTGGGTAAAGTTTCGCGATTCCTACCGAACCTTTATTATGCATAAAATTATTCGTGATTTCATCGATACAATTGTACATGCTTCTGATGCACGGATTACACGTGAAAAGGACGAAAATAAATATATATATATATATATACATACTCGTCGAACCATTGTGAAAGTAAATTAATCGATGAATGGAATATTATTATGAAATACGAATAAAAATATTTCTCTTATTTTCCCTAACAATTTTACGATATTTCTCGAAATAAACGATAAAATGTTTGTTCTACTAGCATTTCCCTACATATTATTGAATAAAATAACGGAAAAATGACGACGCAAGGCGCATTTCATCATCCATTAAGCTCGTTACTTTGTACCATTTGTTAAAATGATTTATAAAATACCAATACATTACAATAAAATATAACGTTGAGATTGATTTATATATATATAACATTCGCGATTATCAATAGAAAAATGTTTCTACCCAACGACTCGCATTAATATTCGTCTCGAAATATATTTTAAAAAATAAATCGTCACTCACCACTCTGTCTCCAGGATGTTTCACGAAGCAATTCAATTCCGCTGTTTGGCCAACAATGGCGGTGACATTTCGTGGGCCGATGTCGTCGAAATCCGGTTTATTCAAAAGTCTCGTCGGCTTACTTCCAGCGACCACACTCGCCAGACTCGATCCACCTGAAAAAAAAATATGAAAAATTAAAGAAACTGTTCACTTTATAAATTTTTCCATTTTTCGAAATCGTAGAAAAACTTCGTAAATATTTCGAAGGAGCGAACGCGAACGTTAAAATTTTGTCGCGAGAAATGCATAAATAACCAGAGAGATCTATTCTTATTTAACAAGGCGTCACAGCAACAGAACAGCCAGAATATTTCTCGCAAAGTCAAAGTAAGTTGAATGAATATGGAAACTCTTCGAGCTTTACGTTCAAACGAGGTTAGACGATGCAGGTGCTTTTGCAACATCAAAAGTTCTATCTCTCGAGTAGGTTAGTTGTTACCACCTTGCTTTCCAACGAACAAGACGTGCACGAACAACATGCGCACGCGCACACGAACGATTCTAATAAGCACTTGATTAAAGATGAACTTTCGACGATACTAATGCGTCATGCTATTGTAATATGATCTTGGTACGCAATCACGGTTAATATTTGTGAAATATCGTGTTAGTTGTGCCACAACAACCTACATCGTCTTCTTTGATCCACCGTTAATGCAAATAGTTCGCCAACTAATAATTTCGAGAATGCCAGGCTCTTCCATGGCACGCTTCTATGTCTATTTTCACATCTAATTTCGCTGACCTTCGATTCAAGCGTGTAACCGAATTAAATTACGGATTCAGCTATCGACTTACCTATGAAAACGATGAAATAGAATAGTTGAGACGAAAAATTAACTATTTTTGCTACGGAAACACTTGTTACGCACCACACGTGTCGACTTCACGGACGCCATTTTGAAATTCAAACTCATGCTTGTGGTTTTTCTTATTCGTTTGTTTTCCTTTTCCGCGTGACGTCGCCACCAGTCGCGATGACGATACGTATTGTGTTTATACTTTATATTTATACTTTATAACGAAGCAGTTTATACATGGTTTACATACACGTGTATATACGTACCACGTGTGATTTTGTTCAAATATTCATTATACGCATACATATACTATTTCATCGTAACGATATTTCATTCAAATGAAATTTCGATGAAAACAAATGACTACGATTATATTTATAGAACTATATATATATATATAATAATCGAGCGGAATAGAATAATTTTTATTCGATATTTTTTGCCCCTTTTAATTTACCATTAAAATATATCCTTTCGATGGTAACACATTTATAAAACGATACACGCGAGAACGAGCATGTTCCTAATTTTGTGAACGATTCAACGATTTCCGAGGACCCAAATGGGTAATTATTATCTTTCCGCCGAATTGAGTTACACTCGACCAGATTTGTATGAATCACTCGATTCATACCATTAACCAGGATTTCGTCGATCGTAGAAACGAGAGAGTCGTCATTAACATAATCCCACGAGACTGGGTGGAAATGGTAGAAAAACGGTATTGCGTTGAACGAGGCTTGAATCGTTGTGGGGGTTCGATGCGGGATACGCGTGGGACGCAGATGGAAGACAGAGAGGTGGTGCTCGATAAAATTTCCCATTGTATTCAGAGGGAGAATAGGATTTCAGTGGGGCAGAAATTGAAATTGTTACAAGGTACACGGCGAAACTGTGGAAATCGCTCAACGATATCCAGACGATATCGATATGCATTTCCGTAGGAACGGGACGAAGGGATTGGCAACCGATAACGAAGCGTCGACGAGTTGTCGTGAAATTAATTTACCGTCTCTCTCTCCCTCTCGTCACGGTCACGACCGTGTTCGTTACTTTCGGAAAGGTCTATTTAATGGAGTTCTATCCCAGACTAATCGAAAAAATGGAAAATCCGTAAGCGTCCGACAAAAAAGAAACACCGTCGATGGAACCGTCTGCTGCCATCGAGTATCGCGAGAAAAAAATTTCAATAGCTGCATAAGTGGAAATGGGCGAGAGAAGAGGCGACTACCAATCGAATTCCTGTATCTCTAGAAAATACTTCTTGGAGGAAGATTGTCGATATATCATAAGAGTTGAGCACGGACTATCCATATCTTAAAAATTCTGGAAATTTCAGTTTTACCTATCTCTCTTTTATCGATCTCTGTCGCTATCCGTCTCCCCCCTTCGATCGTTTTCCCATTCTCGATTTTAAAAGATGAACGGATAAACACACACACACATACACACAGATACATGCACGCGCGTACGCGCGCGTTTCTTTCGGAGAACGATGGTCGATCTCCTCAAGGTACGAAGTCACGGTTATAAAAGAGCGAAGAAGCGACTCGGTACGCGAAAATATTCTTTACACGTTATTCCGTGTGTGTTTATTCAAATTTATTCAAATTCAAATTTATGTGCGCAGTATCTGCAGCGAAGCACGCGTATGAATGCCGTCGATTTAAATAAGCCTTTACGGCCAGGAAAATCTACTAGAATTTTTTTCAAACATCTCACATTCCTCGAAATTCCTTTCTCCCCTCCGCGAAACACGATAAACAAAAGGATCGTACTTTTAACAAAAAGGGACCGGAGTCCACCGCAATCTCTACCACCAGTTTGGTGATTCTCCAAAATTTCGTACGTTCCAGTCACAGCACGTACGTTCAGTTATTTGATCTACCCCTTAGATTCGATTTGGCCGAAAAAGCACGAGCAGCGATACCTTTCGACCCGTTTTCTATCGTTTTACCTCGTCCGTGAATTTATAGTCGTCCCGGAAATGAACGGGAAGAATGAAAACGGGGGAAAAAGAGAAAAGGGGGAAGGAAGCAAAGGAAGAAAGAAAGAAAGAAAGAAAGAAAGAGAAAAAAAAGGCAGAGAAGGCGCTCCGGTGCAATCAAAGGAACAAACGGAAAGCTTCGTGCTGCGTCGCGTGGTGAAACGAGAGAGGAAGAAGAAAAGAAAGGAAAAAAAAAAAAAAGAAAAAAAAAGCGCAGTGAAATTATGGTGTAATACCAGTCGGCGTAATACGTATTCCGCGCCGACACGCAAAGCGAACCCTTAAATTCGTCGGTTCCTTCACCGTCGGTGGCTTCGTTGCCTTGTAATTTCGGCGGAATGCATCGCAGAAAGATAAGGAAATCGTAATTGAACCTTTGAACAATGCTCGCCTGCAATCTGACGTAAAGGAAGGGAAATTGACAAAAGCTACAGCTTCACGAAACTCTCATCGTTTCTTCCGAACGACATAAACTAATCCACGATCGTTGCAACTTTCGTGCACGGGAACACGAACTGTATAATCGTAACTAGAGGGAGAGGGAAGGGGGAACAAAATTCACTCAACCCACGCGTTTTTCCTTTCTTTCCCCGTTTAACAATCCTTTCACGGCGAATATCTGGGAACACGAGGAGCACGATCGCTCGAGCACATTTTCGCAAAATCTACCCCATTGTGATCCACTTCTTCTGTTTCACGACAGAATTTTCCGACCGGCTCCCAGCAGTTTTCCATTCGTGCCGATAGCTCGCCTTTCCGACTCGATGTCGATTCTTTCCTAGTGGATCGTATCGTTGATTTCGGCATTGAATTCACTTCGAGCATCGGCCGGCTCTCCCCTTTCAACCGTTTCGTCCTTCCATGACGGGATTTTCCACCGATCTCGGCAACAAGCTCGAACCCTCCTGTTTATACGATTGCCGGCCTCTACCTTCGCCTCGTTTCCCTCTCCTTGGGAAAGAGAATTTCCGATTCGCCGACATAATCTTGAAACCCGAGTGTGCAGTCGATCATCCCTCAAACGCGTCACGAATAAACTTTTTACGCAAAAGTCTGTCCGGTTAAATGTTTTAATAAACCGAAGAGCGAAGAACGAGCGAAGAAAGGGAGCAAGGGGGAATTTCATACGAATATTTCACCATTATCGCCGCGCGATTCGTTAATTGATCGAATTAAAATTAACGGTCGAGCAAATGGAATCGGAATAATTAAATATCGGCCGCGTTTAACTAATTCAACGAGAGTTACGAGAGAAGAAATGAACGAACTTGTTTCCCCTTTTTTTCTAATCAAGAATGTCCGTACTTCTTCGTAATACCGGGAATGGAAAATTCACCTCGTCCTTGGCGAGAACGAAGAAGGAAGAACAAGAAGAAGAAGAACTCGATTAAAATATTCAACAGCATCGCGTCGTATGGACAATTCAATTGTCTTAATTTTGTCTATCTACTCTTTGCTATCGAATGTGATTCCGAAATTAAAGCTATTTCACACTCTACGATACACCTGTTTCTTCTCCCTCCCTCCCTCTCTCTTTCTCCAAAAATTTTGCAATTTCGAATCTCAAAAACGTTCTCGTTTATAAATATAATACATTAAATAACACCATTAAACTGTTTCCATTCCTTTCAAAAAAAAAAAAAAAATTGTTCAATAGGATTAAGAAATAAATATCGAGAAGCTGATTACCCAATAGCGAGGGGGGATCATTTGCACGGGGACAACAGTTCGCACACGGCGCAAGCAAGCAAACAGCCGAAATTAATCCATAAAGTATCCAACAGCCGGCACACGGCTACGTTATCCAATCGTAGAGTTAACTCCGGTGCAAGCATACCCGTTTCCACAAATCAGGGCCACTACTATCCGAGCTTCGTTTCAATAATCATCCCGGAAACTGCTAAATAACTCAATAGTTTCGGCCAGGCTTGGCCGGGCAGATTGCACGGGATAGTCGGGATTCACTCGTTGTGCAAAGTTGAACTCCTGGCCGGGTTCAACCGGGGGAAAATCGCGATAACACCGGGGAGGAAGCCGGGGTTACTCGTTACGGGTCTCAGCCCTTATGCTTCCTACGGGGCCGGAATATGGGCATATTCTATTAGCAGGATGGTTTACACGGTTGCCCAACCTCGTAAATAGAGTCGGTAAACAGATTCGCGTACCAGCACATCGCGGGAGACCGTGGTAACTTGGCAACCGGTTCGTCCGCCAATTTCATCAGCGGCGTATCAACGATGCATCCTGGTGAACGAGGGTAAGACGGTACAACGGAACCTCCATCCATTCGTCTTCTCTTCTTCCCCCTACGGTGACAAATTCTTTC